CTTTTTAAAACTTGGATTAACCTTTCAATTGTTTACAGTTGATGGTCACTTTATATTTACAGAAATACTATTTAAAGGTATATTAAAATAATTACAGTTCTCAGTGAGAAAAAGATATATTTTTAAAGACAAATATAAAGATGTAGAGAAAAAAAGAACAAAATGCAGAAAGAAAGTTATCAATTAAGATTCTTCTGCATCTGTCTATAATTCTAGCAGGGCAAAATTGTTAAAATTTAACAGGAAGATAGAATAATTTTCTGGAGAGGGAAAAAATGGAAGAAAATACTTATCTGTGTACTAAATAAATGAATTATTAGTATTATGGGATACATGTGACCCTGACACATGCTTATAATGTTACAGTCAGAAAGGCTATTTCAAACAGAGTTGTATATCTGAGAAAAAATCATCAACTTCCTACCTGAAAAAAAAAAAGAAGTGAGAAAGGTGATATATTGTACAGATGTGCCTGGGCCACTTGTCATGTGTATGCCCCAGGTGTCTTGTTGCACCCGTCATCCAGCTGTCAGGGTGAAAGAACTGTTCCTCTTCTCATGGCAACTACGAAACAAAAAGGGACTTGAGATGAGAGAGGCTTCGTGCATCCCCAAGGACTTCAGCATGAACTCTGGGTGCAGGCAGGGAATGCTCACCGATGCGGGAGCCTGGAAGCAATTATAGGTAGGAGAGATAGCTAGGTAGTTCTCTCCCAGCCTGGGGGCAACCTGAGGTGAACAAGGAGTTTGGCTATTTTACAGATTCATGATTTGAAGTCTTTGCTTTCAGGTCTGACACAGTCCCCTGTAACAATTTTGTCCTAAGTGCATACATTTCATAGTCCATTTTGATTCCACAAAAAACTCAAAAACCAAAACCACACACACACACACATTTGTTTTTCTTTAAGTCTTAGCATTTTTAGTCTTTATCTTTTTTTTTAAGTTATATTTCAGTGACAACTATTGTTTTCAGTTACTGTTTTCAGTCCTTTTTATTGTCACCCACCTTTCCATTATTCAGTTAGACTGTTTTTTCTGATTCATCAAATCCCACAGAAAAACTTTGCCATTTATTCTTTCTTTTTCCATTTCCTTCAGATCTGTTGAAATGTAATATGGTCTATTGAGCCAAGTGAGTTTGCAGTATTCATGACCAGAGAAACTTTCTGGATAATTTCTATTACCTTTTGCTTTCAAAAGTAATCAGTGGCACACACCATTAGTAGTTTTCTTGTATCAATCCATTCATCATTTATAACTTGTCCATTATACTTCGTTCTCTTTCCTCCTCTAGGGAAAATGGCAACAATTCCACCCATAAGTCTCCCTTCATGTTACACGTTATTTTGCCAAATGCATGCTGATATTTGGATGGCCAAGACAAATTTATGCTTGGGCAACTAATGTGATTTTGTCTTACCAAGCCACTTTAGTTGCTGGGAGGCATCCAAAATTCAGCATGTGACTGTGCCTTTTCATATCCTTAATATTTGCATTTAAAATGACCATACGTTAAGTGTACGTAGTCCAACAGAAGTAATCAAGAACAGTATGAAAAGTAGGTTTTGTACAGCAGAAAACCAATAGTGATGCTTTCAGTTACATAGTTTTAATTTTTCCGGACACCTGCAGTTTATTGTGGCACTACTGAGAGCACATAAGTTGTGCTCCATTGTCAGTAGCTTTATTGTACAATCCTTTCATCTGGACAGCTGTTTTGAATGGATTACAAGTAGTTGAAATGGAATCTCTTTCCCTAGAGAATGCTTCCTGCTATTTCATCTGTGAAGAGATTTAAGTATTTCTCTACCTACCTCATAACTGCTCTTTATATGTTGAAAGAAGCTGTATCATGTTATTTATTTAAAAAAAAAAAAGCTAAAGCAGTCAGTTTAGTGAAATACCAAGGGTCACGATCACCTGTGGTGAAATCTGTGAGTTAATGGAGCTGTATTCACTTATACTCAGCTGAACTTGGCATAATTCCTGAAAGACAGTAAAGCTGAGGAACAGAACAGAGAGTAACAGTTTAATCTAAGGAAATTGCATTGAAACCACAACCTGCCCGGTCTGTAAAGTTCTGCAGATAATTAAGGGCAGCCTTTCAAAAGTGTGATAGGGATTTTGGTGACCCACACTTAATAAACTGGGTATTTTTGTAGCCTTGTCATAGGCATATTGTTAGATAAAATCTTAATTCTTTATCAGATTTATAGAATATACAGTATTAGATAAATAGGTTACTCACGGTCAGATAAGTAGAAGGTCTCATAAACTCCAGTGGCAGTTGAATGAGGCTTTTACTGTCTCTGTCAAATGGGCTGGTGAATGATGACATCATAGTTCTGTAGACTAAATAATTGGCATAAATTGGTCCTGCTGCGGGTCTTGGTGTTCCCTCCATGCATCTCACTGATAACATCTCCTTTGTGCTGACACTGGCATTCATTCAGCCATGCACTACCCTGGGAATAGATTTGTGTTAAAACTGTTTTGAAGAGGTTATTTCTCAATGTGTATTATTTTGCTATTCCATTTCATGGTGCAGCTTCACAAACACCAGGCAGTGGCACTCAGAGGAAGAGCCTCACAGTGGTAGGACAAAGCATCTCGGAGCAGGGGCAGCAAAGGGTAAGACCTCTCCTGGTGTTACAAATCCTGGCTCATTCTTGCCCAAGGAGCTTGTTAAACAACATTGTTAGTGATAACAGTATCAGTCTTTGCTGTGTTGTTCCATGATCTAGCAAGACTTGAAGGTATTTTTTATTCTATCTGAATAAATCCTTTCTCTCAATTAGAAGTAGCTCTTACACTGTAACACATATCACAGAACATCGTCTGAACAGAAGTTTGAAAATTTCTTCTTCTCAAACTCCTTCTTTATTTACAGATACTTTCCCCTTTACTCCCCTGTTAAATAATTGTTTTCATGTCTTGGTGGAAGAATATAATATATATTTTTACTTTCTTATTGTTATTTCCCTTAAAAAAAAAAAAAAAAAAAAAGCAATGCAGAAATATATCTGGTCATTATTTGGAAATAAAATAAGACCAGACAAATGCACTGAGCAGTGAGGAAATTGTGCAATGATATTGTAACCTTACTTCTGTGTTCACATGTAATTTATTTAGTTTATTTCTTAATTAGTTTGTATTCTTTGTCAAAAGTGGCTGTTGTGGTTTAAGCCCAGCCGGCAACTAAGCACCACGTGTCCACTGCTCACTCCTCTCCCCACTGGTGGGATGGGGAGGAGAATTGGAAGAAAAAGGTAAAACCTTGTGGGTTGAGATAAACACAATTTAACAGGACAACACAAGGAGAGAAGAATTAATAATAATGATAATAATAATAACAATATTAATAACTATATAAAAATAACAATAATACTAATAAAAGCATGTATAAAGCAAGTGATGAACAATGCCATTGCTCACCACCCAGAACTTGATGCTCAGCCCATTCCTGAGCCATGATCCCGCCTTCCCCCCAGCCAGCTCCCCCAGTTATGTACGGAGCATGATATACGGTATCAAATATCCCCTTGGCTAGTTTGGGTCAGCTGTCCTGGCTGTGCCCCTCACAGCTTCTTGTGAAAATTAACTCTATCCCAGCCAAACCCAGGACATTATCTACCCCTTATTCTATACCGTCTATGTCATGCCCAGATCCTACACTTTCCGATTAATCGCCACCACTTTCCCTGTCTTTGAGATATATAGATAGATAGATATAGATATACACACACACAGATATCATTCCTTTAGTCTATGGGCCATCCCTCTAACATGTCCCTTGAGTTCATTTAATCCATGACTTTGAGGCTCCATCTGTCGTAAAAGTCTTGCAGGGCAGGAGAGATGGTGTGTGGTGTTAGATGTTGCATGCTACATCCAGAGCTCACAGCTGGTCTAGCCAGCCCCTCTAATCCTGGTCATAGTATTCGTTACTCACTTCTTGTAAATATGAATCAGAAGTCCCTTCAAGAGGATCAGAAGTGAGATCAGCCCTTCTACTCTGCCTGGGGAACTGCCTGCTGGAAACTGGAGCGGCATTTTTCCAGGAAGAATCCCCTTTTGTGGTTGTTTTTCCTTGCAACTCACGTACCCGTGCCTCTAGGATCGAGGTGGGTTTTTCATCCCGCTTCCTTATGTCCTCTCTGTGGTCATGCAGATAAAACCACAGGGTACACCGTGGTGTGTACTTTCTATATCCTCTCTCTTGAGGAGAGGAATGCTTACTTCTGATACTCCTTATAGCAGAGATACAGGCCCATACAGGTGGAGGGTCAGACATATCCTCTGAATTGCTGGAACTCCCAGGACAGTTTCTCCATAGCTGAGATGCAGGCCTGTAGGGAGGAAGAGACTTCCTTCGTATTGCTGGAGTTGGCCAGCCACTTCATCCACTGTTTGTCCCTTGCCTTCTTTCCAGGACATTACTGCCAGCAGGTTGGCATACGACAGTGGTGCACTTCATAGAAACTTCCGCCACATGGGTTGTGTGCATTGGACTTCATCTGGATCTGTGGGTAACTGCTCATTATCTGGATCATTATAAATCATCTCCAGCACAGCTAATTCCCTTAGGTACTGGATACCTCTCTCCATGGTGGTCCACTTGCCTGGTTGACATACATCTTCCTTGAAGGGGTACCTTTCCTTCATGCCTGACAGGAGTCGCCTCCAGAGGCTGAGGGCTTGTGTCCCTTTTCCAATTGCTTTGTCAATGCCTCCTTCCCTAAAAAGGGATCCCAGCTGCTTGGCTTCCTGATCCCAGCTGCTTGGCTTCCCTACCCTTTAGCCCTATTGTCACAGCATCGGAGAAGCCAGGTAACAATGTGCTCACCTGGACAACGGCTGAAATCCTTTCGCATATCCCGCAGCTCACTCAGGGATAGGGATCAGGTGATTACCTCTGGTTCTGCCTCTTCCTCCTGTTCTTGTGATGACCCTGCTTCATCTTCATCCCTTACTAAGCAAATTGATTTTTTTGTGTATTTCTTTTTCTGTATAGGGGCAGCTGATACTGGCACAGGTTGGTTCTCTGGTTCAGCTGTAGTGCCTGTCAAGGGGGCTGGAGTGGCTGCAGTGCGTGTCGCGGGGTTGGAGTAGCCGCAGTGCTTGTCACAGGGGTTGGAGTAGCCGCAGTGCCCGTCGGTCTGTTTTCCTTCCCTTCCCCCTGAAGGTGCTGCATAATATCGAGCAGCATTTGGTAGATACTGGCCAGGGCCCAGCACTGTGCGGGAAGTTGTGCCTTTTTGGAATAGCCACAGCATTTTCCTTCCAAATATTCTGCAACTTCATCAGGGTCCTGTAGTTGTTCAGGAGTGAAGTTCCAGACCATTAGACGTGAGAAGTTCTCTAAATACCTGCCCATATTCTCCCACATGCCATGCCACTCATGATTATCCAGCCTCAGGGCAGATCTCTGGGTGGTATTCTTAAATAATTTTTGTTTAACCTTAAACAAGACCTGGAACATATTTCGAAGACATAGCAATAGGAACATGGTGGCTTGAACATCCCAAGTATATTAAAAATTCTCAAAAGCTGTTGTAATTAGCCTGAAGGAGAAAGGGGAGGTGAAAGAGCAGGACAAAGTATCCCCTCCTGTCTTCCCCGTAGATTGGGTGTGTTTACTAATAAATTCTGAGGAAGATGCCCAAGATATGGGCATGACAGCGATGCTGCATACAAATACCAGCTTAACCTCATGACCAGTGATGTAATCATATCATAAGTCGACATTACCTAGTACAGCAAAATGATAGTCCTGATCCCAGAGGTGATAAACAGCACCACAGGGAATACATAGTGCATATAAGAATATACATAGCACCACCATGTGAACAAATAAACCAGCATTGTGAGCAGTGACAATTTAACTAATATATAACTAATATAACAAATTTGTTCTAAGATGCTCTGGTCAGATCTGTTGTTATCTCAACCCTTTGTGCCCCACGTTGGGTGCCAAAAAGGACTGTCATGGTTTAGTCCTGGCCGGCAACTAAGCACCACATGGCCGCTCACTCACTCCTCTCCTACTGGTGGGATGGGGAGGAGAATTGGAAGGAAAAGGTAAAACCTCGTGGGTTGAGATAAGGACAGTTTAATAGGACAACACAAGGAGAGAAGTAATAATAATGATAATACTAATAAAAGAATGTAGAAAGCACGTGATGCACAGTGCAGTTGCTCACCACCCAGAACTTGATGCTCAGCCCATTCCAGGGCCACGATCCCTCCTCCCTGCAGCCAGCTCCCCCTCTTATATACTGCGCATGATGTCATATGGTATCAAATATTACCTTGGCTAGTTTGGGTCAGCTGTCCTGGCTGTGCCCCCTCCCAGCTCCTTATGAAAATTAACTCTATCCCAGCTGAACCCAGGACAGTGGCTCGTGTAAATTTTATATTTTTAACCACTGAGGCATGGGACAGTGAATGACACTGGGTACTGTTACTTTAAATATTATGCAGTTGTTTCACCTGCTAAGGAAATAAATTTTGAACATTTTTGGTGATACTTCACTTTCCAAACCACCTAAGCAGAGTTTTTGACAAATCTAAATCTCTGATGGGGAAAAAAAGAGGATGGAGGGAATATCAGAAATTTCCAATTACTGTTACTGATAAAACATTTTTAAAAAAATTAGATAGACTCCCTTGAAAATAACTTGAATGTATTAGATTCTGAGTACTTCTGAAATCTGCCTGTTTAATTTCTTCAACAGGAGCCAATAATTAAATGCACTAAAAAATGACAAGATATTGAGGCCACAGTTGTACATAACTGAGGAGATGATAAAATCCTAGTGAGGATATTCTGAGTCCTGTGATAAGCTGCAAGTATGAGGTGTCACTGAAGAATACCAGTCCTTTCCTCTGTGTATTGTACATTGTGTGTACATTAAGAATGAGTGCTGTAGCACCAGCTTAGGATTTGTTTTCCTATAATGGCTTGTGTTTTCGGCTTTACCAAGTATCTAATTGAGTAGTTTAACTACAGGCAACTGAGAACTTCATATAAATAAAAATGTGAAGGACTTCAAGGTAAAAGAGAAGGTCGAGTCCTTCTGAAGTTGTAGGTGGTTTAGTGCAAGAATGTAAAGGTAATAGTCTTAATAGGTCTCTTTTGCACTTAACTTCCACTGTGCATATACATGCCCATTTACTTCTTGGCAATCACTGTTTTTCTCTTGGTATTGTGGCTCTACCTCTATTACTCTTCATGGGAGAAATGCTTTGGGTTTTTTTCCATGTTGCCTGCTACCCTGACTCTTTTTCACCACTGAATATTAGACTGCTGCCTTGGTTGTGCTGGATCTACTCCTGGATAACTTCTGACTCTGTCAAGCCACATTTCTTCAAATCTCTGAGTATCTCCACCTCTTATATTGTAGTCTTTATAAATCTTTCCAATAGCTGGATGGTAATGTTTTTGATAGCGTATATCCAGAGGTTTTGTCTTCAAACTAAGGTGAAGTTAGAGAAAAGTTTAGTGAAACTTGAAGAGATCCAGCTCATCTAGGCTTGAACTGTTGCAGTCCACTTTTATCGTGATTAGGAGCAAGCAAAAAATAATCACAATCCTCCATGAAGGAAAATTTCTTTGGAGATACCTAGTTTTATCTTCCTAATTTTTGTCTATCTAAATTGACAGAAATTACAATATACAAAATAATTCATTTCAAATAAACAAAGATTCTTTTGAATCGGGGATGACTTTTTTTCCACCAGGACAGATTAACTCATTGGTTGGATTCCCTACGGCTCATAATTAGTGCAGGTCCTGATCGTCATGGGTCCTCTGGCTGTGGACAGAAAGTGCTCTCAATTCTAGTATAGGGTGCCTGCACAAATACTGCCATTCTTTGAGAAGTATTGTTCAGAAGTTGCTGAAGGTGAAAGATAGAGTAAGGTGATAGGATTTGCTGATAAGTGAAATTTAACCATGCACTGATGTTGTTTGGTTTTAGTACATTTTCATTTAACATTGAGGTTTTACTTGAGTTAGCAGTGCTTTTGAACTAAAGTTAGTGATGTTCAATAAATTCCCCTTGCACAGAGGGAAACTTGTTATGCTATGAAGGTAAAATTCAGTCATTCACAAGCACAATGTGGTCAAACATTTAATATTTTTTTTTTAGCAAACTCTTCCAATCTTAGAAAACTAACTTCCCTGTCATGGTTTCTAAGGTGATACTGTAAAAAAGCTATATTCTTTAATTAATAAAGTAACTGACAACAACGGCTAGGACATATGGAAACACTGTGATAAAAGTTTTATTGTTTCACACAGTGTTCTGGTCTAACTAACAATCTTTTATTATCACTTATCCAAATCCTGAAGGAATATTTGCTTTCTTAGGCACTTGTGCACCTACTACAAGCCATTAGAGAAAAAAAAAAAGGCATGAAGGCTGTTTTGATCTTGTGACTCTTAGGATGTGAAAATGTGAAAGGATTGCAGGAAGAAAAAGAAGAAAATGCCATGGATTTGAAAATAGAGAATTAATTGAAAAATCATACTGAAAGAAATAGCTGGCACGCTTCCCAAACATATTACACATTTCATATTGCCTTTCTGCTTAAGGACGGTGAAAGAATTTCACTTCTTGAGGAGAGCCCTTTCCAGTTCCTTCCTGGGGCAGCATTAGATCCACGGTTTGCTTGAGCAGGGCTCTGACTAGATGCTGTCTAGCAAATGAAACCATGACACTGATATACTTCTGTGAAATGGAAGTAAGGAATATATGCCAAAAGGAGTGTGGTACAGATTACAGTGCTGTCATGCTGGTTTAGATGTGTTTTCAATGCATCAGGTGCAACAAGAAAGGAGCGGGGGGGCTAGAGGGGAATGGCCACTATCCTATTTCCATTCTGAAACACAAGATGGAGGCTTAGGTCATCGTTCAGACAGTTTTCTTCAGAGAGTGCATCTTTCAGTCTGAATTTATCAAATTTGAACATTTGTCGCACTTCTACCTTAACTAAATTTATGCAGGGGACTTGTAATAGACCAACATAAAGGATTCTTATTTCAGAGACAAACCAACTACTGAGACATCTGAGCAAGAAACCCCAGTTAGGTTTATCAACAGAAAAGAGCATCATTTGTTTTCAATACTGATGTCTAGTTAAGGCATAGGTATACCACATTATCACCTCAGCTAGCTTAACGAGCAGGCAGAGTTCAGTGCTCAAGCATGTTCCTGGGCTAACAGGGATAGGTGTCATTCAAGATCTCAGTTATCAGAAGTTTAGCCAGCTTGATGGACTCTGTAGTGTGCTCTGTTACATGCTGATTCTGGGAAATATATGTGGAGTCAGCTTTGGTATATCTGTATCGACTATGTCTATGATCCTGCAAGAAGGAGAGACAGAAAAGGTAGGAGAAATATGTCCTGGTTGAGTGTTAGTGAGCCTTTCTGCATTGAGGTATCTGAGATTAATCATTTCACCTTGAGTGTATACCTGACCTATTCCAAATTTAATTTGAAGTGTTTTAAGGTGTCAAGGTTTTAAGCCGTGTTTGCCAACCTAAGTTATGACTGTTCCAGTTCTTCCATTTCAAAATAGCTTCACTTTACATTTCTGTAATTGAGAGATCTAGCTCATGTTCTTCTCGGGCGTAGTTTCTGGGGTAATAGGTACTAAATAATCGGAAAGAGTGAAAGGAAACTCGAAGTCGCTCTCTCCCTCTCATGCAACTTCCTTGTAACTGTTCCCTGTAGCATATGTTTTCTGTAGCTGTTTTTCTCTAGCAGGTACCCAACACTGTAATAATTTTGCCATTGAAATGTTAATGGGCTTTTGTAGGTCGTTTTGTTTGTGTTTTATTTTTTAAGTAATGCATTCTTAGCCCAAAGTGTATCTCTCCTCTGTGCTGTAGGTTCAGCCTTTGAGGTAAGGGGCACCCCTCTCTGCTCCTTGCAATCCCTTCTCTGGGCTGAGTGTTCCAGCTGTGTCTGGACATGGCGGGGAGAGGTACGGTCTTTAGCATACTTGTGCTTTGGGCTATGAAAGAGGGCTTTTGCCTTAATTTACCCAGGATTTCTCTGAGGGGAGACCTGGATGAGCAA